TTCGTGACGGTTTAGGGAAAATAGTTTACGCAAGCTGAAGATAGCCTCACGTCCATACTGGTGCAAAGAGATGCGTTACTCCCGGTAAACTGAGACACTATTCCTCCTGTTGTTCTACTCTTGTACTTTAAAAATTGCTACACACATAATTTTCTCAGATTTAATCGAGGACAATGTTGTGACAAGCTCTTACCTCACAACAAACTGAAAACAGTTAATTGTCACGAGAAATCTTTCAAGTCTAAACTAGGAAGGTCACATCACTTAAATTCGTGTCGAATTACACAAACTAACATTTGCATAGCCACATCAAAATCCGCAAGTAAACCTGGACTGGAAGATTCAACGCCAACGATAACCGGAGATACTCGAAGCAACATTGCAAGTCTCAACTCCAGTCCTTCCCAAAAGTCTCCGCGTATTTGGGGGTGTCACACAAAGAAATATCTCGCCCAGATAGTCAACAGCGTGTACGATGAGATCTGGTGGAAGAATGTATTTATGCTGCAGAGTGGATCCGCCGGAAAAGACTTCGTGAGGGGGGCGACGAAAACTTAACGAATAGAACTTGAATTGCTGCAGATTATTTATATCTTTTTTTGTTGTAATCTTTCTTTTAAACATGTTACGCTTATATATTACGTCGAATGTACATCAATTTTCTTTTATATCGCATCATATAAATCGTCGAGGAGGCGATGACGCGATGTTTCGACTATTGAAGGACAATGGAGCCAACCTGGAACGTACTATTTGTGATAATTTCCATCAAGAAAAAGGTGCAGTATGAATTTGAAAATATCTGGAAGTATTTTATTATTTAGCAGATTCCCATGAGTTAACACGTCCACGTGCACTCTTGCGAATATCGCAATGGCGGCAATTCGGTTGCCTTTAATTCTTTGTTACACTGACTAGATCTATGAAATGTATATTTCGAAGGCTATTATATTTTAAACAGTATGTTAAAAAAGTTAGCTAAATTTGTAGATTAATTATTGAGAAACACTTGGCCAGACTATGGCCTATAATACTGTAGTCAGACTCTCAGTAAAGTTCTACGTGTTTACACTTACAGTATTATTAAAAATGCGGTACAGCCCGATCTGCGCATGTGCACAAATGAGCCCTCTTTTATTACACAAACAGTTATTTAGGTTTTTATTTCATTTTATGTTCTTGGAAAGTGTGATTGTTTTGTCTTGATAATTTATTATACTAGCTACAATCGTGAAAATATACATAGTTGTCGAATAAATTTCACTATTTTGAATACCGAAATGTAAATAAAGCTATTGTTTACATACGGTCTGTCCCGCATCTTTAAACCACAGTTTACAGCAGTATTGTCTTCAAATACTTTGTTACTCTTTGCTTTTACATTTAATGACCTGAAATTATTTAAATGAGCCATTAATAACAGAGTGCCAAGGTGGACAAAGCTCAAATCTGATGAACCTGAACTGCTAGGATATCTCGATAGTCAAACATCAGTTTGAGTATTTATTCAGCATTATTTAATGTTAGCGAGTTAATGAGTATTTTTAATATCCATGACAACTGCAGCACGTCAGCGATTTTTTTGGGAAAAGGTTTAGCAAACCTGCCTCCAAATCTGAAAATTTCATTATTTTGTTCCCTTGCCTCTATATTTATACCTTTTGTGCCCTTGAGATGTTTAAAAAAATTGCCTAACTTTGCAGTGTGGCTTGTAACCTTGTTGCCATAATTATTTTCTGAAGGCTTCAATAAATTTCTACTCTAACACCTGACAGAGATGGGAGTCATATGCATGAACAAAAAGAAATGATTTCTTCATCTATTGGCCCCTTACCTATCACCAAACTTTTAAATTAAATTTATTGAATGATTTTGAAATTTTCTAGATGATTGAAAAGAACTTTATGCGTACAAGAAATGGGGCAAAAACAGTTAAATTACCGGCAAGATGCAAGTAACAATGAACAAGACCAGGTCACTGGATGCTATTTCCGCACACTTGTGGAAACTCTAAACTTCAAAATTTCATATTATATGTTTATCTGTTCAAATGTTGTGTTAAACAAGCAATTTTATACACAGCATGGTTGAATCATATACCTTGTAAACCTTTTTTTGTGGTGTTAACTGTAATAGTTTTTTTACATTTGATTAAATAAGTACTGCAAAAGTCAATATTTCGACAGTTCTTAGATTATATGAATACATTATTCTTAGGTTATATCACAGTCAATTAGGACACGGTCTGGAACTTGGCCAAGTTCTACCCTTTTGTTCATGTTCAGGCACGTGGGTGGTGGCAGTTCTAAATCTTTTATGTAATCATCCAATATCAACAGCATAATCTCTTCTGCGAGTAACCAGACCGTGCTGTTGAATATTAATAGGGAAAATTTTCAATGCCTTGTACGCAATATTAAATCACTGATAAAGATATATTTATACATTCTTATTTTTTAGATATTAACGAGTGCGAAGCTAATCCTTGCAATATTAATGAAATTTGTTCTAATACCAACGGGTCCTTTACATGCACCTGCGATGTAGGGTATGAAGCCAACGGAACTAACTGCACGGGTAAGCCGTTACAAACTTTTTCGTTTGGCCGATTTTAGAATCGGCCTCACACATGCTCACCTTAATTTGTTTTTGCTCCAATTTCAAATAATGCAACAAGCTCTGCCACCCGTTTAACTCACCCAAATCCAAAGTCACTAGCTTTTTCATTCCACTTGCTTTGTCACTTAGGCTCGGTGGACGAGTAGAGCGGCGACAGGAACGGCTCAGAGAATCTGTTCATGATATAGTGGGTGGCCAGAACATTCTACCTAATTAGTATGACGCATCTCTGCGTTCATATATTATGGCTGTTTTAATCCCCTCAGATATTTCGTCCCGGTGGGTGCACACTAGCTACATAAGTAATGTACTTTGAGATATCTTTTCCTCTTGATTGAACAACCTGTATATTCTAATCCGAATTTGATCGAAAATTGCGAACACCAACAGAAAACGTAGCATGTCGAATGAAAATGGAATGTTGCTGGGGAAGAGTTTGGAAATGAGAGACTATTTTGTTCGGTGTAACTACCCCCACCTCTCTCTTAGACACTGCCTTTTGAAGGCCGCTTAATTACAATTTATCTCCGCTTAAACTACCATCCGTTTAACTCCTAAGTAAGAGTTGCCTTTAAGAAGATATTCATACCCGGAAAAGCCGCTCTAAACCTCTTTCATTTTCTCTAATAACTACGTAATCATCATGAAACCGAAACACATAATGGCACATTTCCTTGTGGTGTGCGTCAATGTGACTCTAATGTGACTATACAACCTGTGATTCTAATATCGGAATATTTTATCCCACTTGAATGAGATTCCACATGGAAGAATGTAATATCGAACTCTCAACTGGCTCATCTCTAATATAAGCACACAATAATTTTTATATGCAACAAAATGACAATCATATTTATCTCACAGAACCGAACTAACGAGTATCTTGTTAGCTTGGCTTATACAGGGTGTATAAAAAAACTGAACAGATTTGAAATTGCTCTTAATTTCGCAAAACAGCTACTAGTATCCTGTTTTTTATATACATGGCTTATTTGGGTATTTATAATGTAGAAAAATGAAAAAAATTCTCGAACACAAATTTTGTAAACCAGGCGGTGTCTTTCCGACAAACTAAAATGGCTTGCGCACGAGATTTGAAAGCTGTAATCGTATTTTTAGTTAATGAATCATGAAAATTATGTTTGGTGTTTAATTGCTGCACGAAATTTTAGACAATTTGCTTCAGTTTAAGCCCTTCAACTATTCACGCAAACTTACATTTTCCCTAAAAAGTCAGCAATTTGCGTGCTTCATTAATGCATTTGCCCAATTTACATATGTCAGCAATATGCAAGTTAGGTAAAGGTATTAATTAAGCCTGCGAAAGGCTGATCTTTTAGGAAAAAAATGATAGTTAAAGGGCTTAATCTAACGCAAATTGTCTGATATTTTCTACAGTAATTAAAAACCCAACAAATTGTCCATACATTAACTCAAAATATGATTAAAGCTTTTAAATTTCGTGCCAAGCCATTCCTAGTTTGTTCGAAAAGACACACACGAAATTTGAGTGGGAGAAATTTTTTTCATTATTCTACATTATAAGTACCCAAAGTAATCATAATTAGTATTCTTTAGATGAAGAATATTATTAAAACAGTGTATCTATTGAACTTGTACAAGTAGTCGTGTCTGAAACCGTTTAATAAACTTGCAGGTCGTGTTTTGTTAGGTCTAAAACCACTCGCGCTGCGCGCTCGTGGATTTAAATCTAATAAAACATTCCTGCTCGTTTATTAAACAGTACATAACCTTTGCATGTAGCATATGAACGACTGCAATAATGTTGATGTGTAAATACATGCATGTGTGGATCAATAAGAACTTTACAATGACGTGCTGCCACGCAGGATATAATTATGCAGATTGCCCTGCCTCTTAATTAGTATCCTTAGTCATTGTATTACTCGTCTTGTTAATTAATATTCCTACATATTGTACTCAAATTATTTTTTATTAGTGTTGCAAGTTTACTGAACTTTATTGCAACCTATCGAGGTAGACATGTGTCAACAATAATTCATGAATTTCACAAATAATTTGAGATGATATTAGGCTAATCAAATTGAAATCTGTTTCGGATACAGAAATTGATTAAATTAATAAAGCATTCGTTTTTTTCCAGTTATCTTACAACGCATTTACCCCAGAACTGTTTCTCACCCTGAACGAGATAGATCTTAAAATATAATAACTTCTTTAATAGATTTTAATAATTTTGCTATGTATTTGAGATATTCCTGTATTTTCTTTGGAAAGCAAGCCAACAAACTTGACGTCATACATGTACAATGAAGCATTATAGTGAATGGCGTATTCAACGAACTCACTTGAAACAAGCAGTTTAATTTAGTAAACTGTTTTGTGTCATATCCACTATAATGAACTATTACAGATTTTGGTACGTGATTATATTTCATGTAGATATTAACGAATGTGAAACTCAAGCTCCGTGTCATGCAAATGCTACTTGCACAAACGTGGATGGATCATACTACTGTGCTTGTAAAGCAAATTTTAGTGGAAATGGCTTCTTTTGTGAAGGTAAATGTTTTGAGAATGTTTGACAAAATGTGCATAAATTATTTGAAATCTAGCAATTATTAATTCTTGAATAATCGAGGATTGCCAGAACAGGTTTCAGAATTTGGCCAGTAATGTCATACAATCTCGTACAAAAGGAATATATTCTTGCAAAGTTTAGTTCCTTTAAAACCAATCATATCTGAACTATTTTTAATTTTTTTTTTCTATTAAAGACCATGTCCAGTCCGTAATAAACAAATCCTTTGTTTACATTTTGAACTGCTACATTTGTTAAATAAGACATATTAACTGAATATCTAACACTTTTCAGGTTCTCTATTGTAATTGAATATAAATTGGAGCACGTTTAAATTCAAAAAAGTTCGAGACATTTGGGCAATGTTTCTTTCTCCCCTTTAAGGCGCCCTTGTTATGAGCAGAACTGATGCACAGAACGGACTTGACATGGTCTTTAAAAGTAATTACATGTTAAAAATATTTACGAGGCGTTATACAACCTGGGTATTGCTAACAATGCGATAAATATATTAACGCTCACAGATTTTGGCTATTTGTTCGTGTTAGCATGCAAAATAGGAACATTTGGTCAAAAATTCGCAATGTTTCCACAACTAAAAATGATTGTCACCTTCAACAATTCATTCATATAATTCATTCATTCATTCATTCATTCATTCATTCATTCATTCATTCATTCATTCATTCAAAGTACATACTAAATACAAACATTTAGTTTTGATGTTGTAATGCATAAAGGTGAGGATACAATGAGATTCAGGCTGTAGAAGTACTACCACGTAAATGCGTCAAAGATTTCAATTTCTCTGGCAATGCTCGATCTTGAATTGTCTAAGACAGTACCGTGCTAAATAGTCTGTGTATCAATTAATTGCTGTATGACTATCTATCTTTACTAACCCATAATAAATTAAAGCAACAAATCTACGAATTTTCCAAAAGAAATGTCATCCCAGCAACCGATTTGATTTACATATCGGTCAATGTAAGGTGATCTATTCACTTCTTGGATTTCGGATTCCTCTCTGGATTCCAACTTCTGCTCTTTGGATACCGGTTTCCATTACTTGGATTCCGGTTTCCACACCTTGGATTCCGGTTTCCACTCCTTGGATTCCGGATCCCAGATCGATCGTGATTTCCGGATTCCAGAAAATTGGCCCATGATAAGGATTCTGTTTTAATAGTTAAACACATTGTCAAAAACGTATTGCTCCTTTTATCTATTTTAGGTCTATTTTTCTTCGTTTTGAATAGTTTGAAAGACTTTTAGACACTTTGCCGTTTTAAACTCGGCTCTCGTCGCTGCTTCGTAGGCAATAAAAATTGCGTATTGCCCGTGGGCAATACGGGAAAACCCTTCCTTGTCAGCAGACAATCAAACTGCGCGATTCATAAAATAATGCTTGCCATGTAATAATAGAGTATATTTATTTCAAAAATCGGAAAATTGATATATGCATTGCTATACGCATGACAAAATCGTGTTCTTTAATTAAAATGCAACTGGATTTTGTCAAGAAGTTTTAATACTTTTGTGAGCAATTTGGCATAAACAAACTTGGGAAATGATCATAAACTGATAAAGGCACATAACTTAAACTAGAACACATGATTCAAACTCATGAAACAACATAATTATTCTAGAGTAAGAATATCTTTATAAATTGATTACAGACTTACATAGTCAGGTATCGCTGCATCTTGCCGAGATTATTTCTTAAAACTGTTTCCAAGTATTTTCCACACGCTCTTTTTGCCATACTATGTTTTTAAATTAAACTCATTATTGTGCCAAAATTTAGTTAAATTCGTCCACGTTTGTCGTTTATATGATCAATACAAGATAAATTTCGCCGCCATATTGGATTTTTGTTGTTTTGATTTCCCGCTCCCCCAGTCATCACGAAAATCATTAATTGCACTCCTAGAGAGTGCAATTAGATTGCAGTCATTTGTGATGTATATAACAAATCGCGATGTCACTCTTTACGTCATCATTTAGCGAGCCTGCGTTCCTTTTGATAATGTTCCACACCATGTTCCCCGCATGACAACACGATAGCCTTCAAAATATAAATAGTGTTAATGAGTGATGAATAATTAAATTTTAAAATTTTGAAGCAAATTTTGAAAATGTTGTCATTAATATTCCGAACGATATGTGATTCGAATGAAAAGCTACGATACTTGCGTTAATCTGAAAGTAAAACAACGAATTCACGAAGGAATGTGTCAAGTTTTTAATTTTAAACTTGGAGGCTTTTAATTTTCAGTATAATATACGATTTATAGACTCCTCTCGGGGGATTCGGCGAAATATCACCCTCAGTGATGATATTTCCCTCAGGGGCGTTCGGGGAAGCACCTTGGGGAATATCATCTCTTCGGGCAATATTTCACCGAATTCCCCTCGCTCCAGGTCTATAAATGAAAGATGTACATCACAAATTCCCTCGGAATGGATTGTTTAAAATTCACTTTAGTCCACTCGTCAGCAGAAGAACAAAAACAACTTCCACATGAAATAATAACTATATTGTGACGTATATGACTTTTTCTATGTTGTGCCTTACAGAACTTACATGTAAAGTGGATGCAATATATTATGCAACATCAAGTGGTATCAAAGGTGTATTCTCTGACGGTAATTCAACAGTTACGATAATATCAGGAAGTAACGTGAAGTTAAACTACGATTCTACGAGTGAAAGACTCCTCTACTACGATGGTGATAATCTAATAAGTGTTAAACTGGACGGCAGTAATGCAACTACAATAGCGTCTCTCTCTATCGTATTACGGTTTGCTGTAGATCATATAACAAGGAAGGTGTACTACATTACTAATTTATTCAGAAACGTTCGCAGCATTGATCTGGATACTGGAGCCGACAATCCTGTAAGTTCTAATGTTGGAAGTGGTGTTGAAGACTTGGATACTGATCCAAATAACAGGTATATTTCAACTGCCATTGATTATAATACCTTAATAAAAATAACAAATTGGTTTAACGAGTTTTACCATTGCGCTAAGTTATATTTTCGTTAAATGATTCAAATGTTGGTCAACGCTAGGATACTTTCCCTTTTACAGCATGTTTAAAAAGAGAACATGCGATATCGATTCATTACTTTATCCTTTCAATTAGTGCCAGCTATGTGAAGTACCATATTCCCAGAAATTGCTTCTAAGAGTCTTGTCTTTACTGGTTTTTATCATTTACAAAACAAGGAATTTTAATTATTACCGAGTTGGCATGTTGATGACCCTTGAGGGAGACCAAGGAAATCCTATAAAATATAAAATTTTCAAAAATTTGCCGCTGGGATTTGCGTTTTATCGCTTACCTTTGAAATTATCCGCATTCAAAAACGGCGTATGCAAGGTCACTCTTGAATAGTTCAAAAAGGTGTTATTATTCTAAAGGAAGTGAAGCGAAGGCATATATCCGTAAAATTTAAGGGTGGAACGGGGCATTTGAGAAAGAAGGAATTTTCACTGCGATAATGGAGTTTAATTTTCTGGCAATCGGTCACTATATGACTATTATTTTACCAGCAGCGTCCATACAGCTCTAAAGTAGAGGAATTATTGACTCACAATATCGCCTTTTTAATGGATGGGTGCCTGAATATGCTCCCACAAAGCAATCCTCGAGAGAAGACCTCCAACGGCCCGTTCGTCGCTAGTTGATTGTTCAGCAAAGTCGTCCTCGTAATCTTCGTCTCCACTCGACTCCTCATCATCGTCGTTTGGTAGAGCCTAGGCAGATTTCTTTTCGAAATTAATGACTGCTTTGTTGGTTGTTACGCCTAAGCTTTCTACTTTTTGCTTGAGATGATATTTGCAAATCGGGCAAGCACTGATGTCTGGTAGGTTACACTCGAGCTGAAAAGTGTGCACACAGGCCTCGATGAATGCGCGCCATAAAAGACTGTCGCGGCTGCATTCGATCTTATCATTGTTGCTGCATGTGTCAGTGGAATGAAAGTATATTAATAAGGTAGTTCTATCCCTTTGTTAAGTCATTTAACAAATTTTTTCCAAAATTTTGGTTTAGTGTGTTTTATATATTTTAAATATTGTACCTTCAAAATTTATGGTTACTTTTATGAAATATTTATTTTTTTAATGCGAAAAATGCTTTTAAAGTGGTTTGCAACGCGTATCAGTGGAATGAAAGTATATTAATAAGGTAGTTCTACCCCTTTGTTAAGTCATTTAACAAATTTTTTTCAAAATTTTGGTTTAGTGTGTTTTATATATTTTAAATATTGTACTTTCAAAATTTATGGTTACTTTTATGAAATATTTATTTTTTTAATGCGAAAAATGCTTTTAAAGTGGTTTGCAACGCGTATCAGTGGAATGAAAGTATATTAATAAGGTAGTTCTACCCCTTTGTTAAGTCATTTAACAAATTTTTTTCAAAATTTTGGTTTAGTGTGTTTTATATATTTTAAATATTGTACTTTCAAAATTTATGGTTACTTTTATGAAATATTTATTTTTTTAATGCGAAAAATGCTTTTAAAGTGGTTTGCAACGCGTATCAGTGGAATGAAAGTATATTAATAAGGTAGTTCTACCCCTTTGTTAAGTCATTTAACAAATTTTTTTCAAAATTTTGGTTTAGTGTGTTTTATATATTTTAAATATTGTACTTTCAAAATTTATGGTTACTTTTATGAAATATTTATTTTTTTAATGCGAAAAATGCTTTTAAAGTGGTTTGCAACGCGTATCAGTGGAATGAAAGTATATTAATAAGGTAGTTCTACCCCTTTGTTAAGTCATTTAACAAATTTTTTTCAAAATTTTGGTTTAGTGTGTTTTATATATTTTAAATATTGTACTTTCAAAATTTATGGTTACTTTTATGAAATATTTATTTTTTAATGCAAAAAATGCTTTTAAAGTGGTTTGCAACCTTTGCAACGCGTTTTTGTCCAAAATTTACGTGAATTATTAAAAAAACCCGAGTCTTTTGTAGTTTCTATTTTTGATGTATGTTTTTTAAGGTCCTTTCTGTTAGCTGCAATTTGATTGGTCCATTTTGCATGTACATGGCAACACATTTTAATTTCATAGCAACTTCGCGATCTTTCGCAAAGCTCTGGCTGTAAACATACAGTAACGTCGAAAATCTTCGTTATTTCTGAATATTTAGTCGAAAATGACTGTTCTTTGTTAAATGCTAGTATCATTCTGTTATTTTGTTTACGATTTTCAATAAAAATATGGGAAATAATCGAAATAGAAAGAGAAAAAAGGCAAGAAATTGACCGTCAAAGAAGGCCACAAAATTCAAGATGGCGGCGAAGCATGTGATCAAAACCCTGGGCATTTTAAGATGAAAATAGACGATATAAGTGTAAAGTTTGGCTAGAATCCTGGTCATACTGGCTCTGTTAAAGAAGGTATTATATTTATGGACTTGTTAGTTCTGTTTGGCGTTTTTAATCAAGTTCTGAAATGCGTTGAGTATGGGAACAACATGACTGATCACTGATGACTTCCCATGTTGACATGAAAAAGAAGAATAGCTTCTCGCATTACACTGTTCTGCAATGATAGCATAGAGTGTGAATGGAAATACTGCTTCTGTACGTCACAAAAACATGGGCCATCATATGAAGTTAATATGGTAGCAGTTCTTGGCCTCCTGGCATTCAGAGAAATTGGTCGAGACCATAATACTATGGTAATATTCACCAAAGTCATGAACATGTCATCACAGCAACACCACAAACCCGCCGGAACTTTACAAAAATGCTGAACAAAAATCTGCCGGCTGTTGTGAAACAGTTAGCAAATGACAGCATGTTATTCCATAGCTAAACAATACCATGATTGTTAAAGAGGCTTGTAGAAATGACAAAGGCAAATGTGGAATTTCCCTTTATGGAACTTGGCAAAGACAAGGCCATGTGTCGCACAGTGGTGTTGTTTATGCCATCTCATTAGATACCAAGAAATGCCTGACAGCCTGAATGTTGAAATACTCTCAGATAAATGTCAGAAATGGCAAAAGAAAGAAAACAACCCAAAATATCAACAGTGGAATACTAGTCACCACTGTAAGATCAACCATGCTGGACGCGCCAATAGTATATGATGAATAATTAAATTATTGCCAAAAAAGCAGAGAAACAATTAAAAATAGACAAAAAACATTAGGGCATCTGAGAAAATGTATATAGATAAGTCTGAAAGAGAAAGTAGGTGTTGTGTATGAAGCAGGGGGCTTCTGAAGCTTTATAAAGTACATTAACAGTAAACAAAACTTTTAAATTGGATTTTCTCTTTTTGGAAATTTGACCTGTGCCAGCGATTTTTGTGACACTGTAATTTTGTAAATATATCATGTAGAAGATTGCTATTTTGCATAGTTACTTCCTACAACATGGTCTAGCCTGCGAACAGGCTCTCAAGCTGAATTGAGAGCCTGCATTGATGACGAATGAATTTGAATATCTGCCCCGTAACGTTCGTTCTTCCAAATATGGAATGCCTATCCTTATATGGTGTTGTTTACAACTTTCGTGCAAACTAAATTTAGACCGTGCAAACTAAATTTAGACCGTACAGTTTA